CCCCCCCCTTCTGTCCTCGTTCTTCTTCTTCTTTAAGCAGCAGCATCGTCATAACCATGCCCCCTGCCCATTCTCCAGTCCGTTTCCCCCATTGTGCCCCCAACCCCTTCCACCTCAAATTTGTACCAAGCCCACCCAACCCAAGCCCCTTCTTCTCTTTCTCCTTCTCCTTCATCTGATTTCTTTTTCCTTATTTTTTATCCATTCACTCATCTCACTGCCATCTCATCGATCCCACTACCAAACTGCCTGGCCCAGGCCCTTTTTCTTTTTTTTTCTTTTYTTTTTCGTCTTTTTTTTTTTTTTTCTTGCCTGGCCCAGACCCTACCTTTTTTCAAAAACGAAAAACAACAGCAGCAAAGAGGTACTAGCTTTCACTGTTAATAGAAACTCACACAGTGCCAGAGCATTGGCCCTTCCATCCACTGTCTCGTTCAGTCATTTCTTGCAAGCTCTTCAGCACTTCCGAGCCCAAACCCATTTCCGGAAGTTTGGTAATCCATCCATTGCGGTTGGTCTTGATTGATGATTTCAACACCTTGACAGCCTGCAGCAAGTGCAATCAACCCATCAATGTCAGCTCAGCATTCAATCTTCAAATCGACTTCAAAGGTCCCTAGACTTGATTAACTATGGGTCAGACCATGGTTCCGCCGGACCACAACTCCAAACGGATCCACAAGTCCGACCAGACTCTCGTCCCGACCGCTTTGGACTGTCCAAATATCCAGACAACATACAGACATCCGGGCAGAGAGGATCGGGACTGTCTGGATTGCCAAGATTGGGGGAGTAGTACCCTGATTTGTCCAGATTGAAAAGAAAAGAAAAAAAAAGACGAGTGCTCCGGGCTGGAAGACAGCAATGACACACACGTGGAAACAGATACGCACAAGAGTTTTTGAAAAAGGAGCTCACATGATAACACAGATATGAAAAGTTAGGGACAGATTCAATCTGGAACACACGGACTGTGGTGTAATCCACGACTCAAACCTCTGCTCTCTCTCTCTCTCTCTCTCTCTCTCTCTCTCTCTCTCTCTCTCTCTCTCTCTCTCTCTCTCTCTC